CCGTTGGATCTACGGGAAAATTTCATAGGACCTTTCTTGTAGAGGACGACGAGATCTACAATTTCCATATAAAACTTTCTTACTAGCATTAATAGTTAACGAGTAATTTGCAAAAAACTGTTTCTTCGTTTTTCGTCAATAACTCGTAAACTATTAACGCTAGCAAGAAAGTTTTATATGGAAAATGTAGATCTTGTCGTCCTCTACAAGAAAGGTCGTATGCAATTTTCCCGTAGATTCAACGGTTTAGGAGTAATTAAGGAAAAATGAAATTTTTTGCCAAAAGTTCGCCGTTTCGACGCTGGGATGGTCGGATTTTGTCAACATTAATAAAATGCCAAATAATCATACGTAACTCGTTAAATATCGAAGTTAGAAGGAAAACAACTTTTATTTGAAGCATTTTTCGCAATTTTGAAGAAAAAAATTGTTCGTCAGCGTCAATACTTAATTAGATTCTATACTTTTTAGCACGTAGCTATTTATTATTAGCATTGTTCTTCCGACGTCTGATTTTTTTTTAATCATAGGAAATGCGCTTTTCTAAGGTACATAAACTTTTGGGATTGACTGTATAGCCAATACATCCTTAAATCGAATCCAGTAAACTAAGAACATATGGTTTGCCTCGTAGGGAAGACATGGAAAAAGTGAACATCGTTTTCCACGACAATGGTACCGTGAGTTATCAGCACAAGAAAATATTAAACTTTGTACCAGAATTGTCCAAAGACAAGGACCTCAGAGTAATAGTACCAAACATACCATTACTAGTGAGTAACTTTTTCTATTCAATGATATTCGACTGATATTAATTTTCGTAATCCTATAATTTTGAAAATCTTTCATTTTTCAGACACTTTCTACGCAAAGTAAGAGTCTACCTCGAATTATCACCGTAGGATTATCGATGTTCTTGAGCGGGATGAAAATGAAACCGTTTGTTCCTGTGACCGCTCAAGAACTCGTGTTCGGGTACAACGATCCGCTGGTCAGCATTGCGCATCGGTTCTTCCCGAAAACGAGACGTCCCATGAGTAAAATGGGGCTCCTCGTCGGGGTAAGTAATAATCATGTGAAGAACATTATCGGTCAGAAATGATCGATTTACTCATTTTCTTGTTTCAATCACGTTCCTCAACAATTGTACTTTGATTGCAGAGGAACGGTACGCTGAACGAAGTGTCCACGATTTTTACGGGGCACACGGATATGAGAGAGTTTGGATTAATAAATCGGTTAAACGGGCTGGACCGTCTGCAATACTGGCCAAACGCGCCTTGTAACTCTATTCGAGCTTCCGAAGGTGAGTCGTAATCGCATAGTCACCTGAACGTTCCACATTTTCATGTTCTATATAACAATTTTCGTCACAGGATCATTTTTTCCACCTCGAGACCAAACTGGCGCTGACATCATCCACGTCTGGGACAAGGATCTTTGCCGCACTTTGCCTCTGAAATATCGAGGCCCAACGGAAAAATCGGGGATTAAAGCGGACCTGTACACTCCGCCTGAAGGAGTCTTCGGTCGGCCTAAAGGAAACGCGACGGAAAACGAATGCTTCTGTTCAGACGACATGTCGACCTGTCCGTCTGACGGGCTACAGAACATCAGTCCTTGCCAATACAGTGAGTAATCGCGAGAATTTATTTCTGTTTGATTTAATTGACCAATTAAATGGAATGATAGGTTTTCATTGGAAGCATTGGTTTTATAATATTAAGAACGAGTATCATGTACTATGAATTCTATCAAGGATGAATCATTTTTTAGAACATATTAACATAAGAAACGAGTTGATAAAGAAACGAATGACTTTTTTCCCCAAGTTGTTTATTCATTGATCTTTATGAGGTACGTCTCTTTTTCAACGTAGCCAGTAAATAAATTATTAATCATTCTATCAAAAAAATTGTTAAATATTCATAATCATTGAATTTCACAAAGCTATAGCTCCTATTTCACGTAATAGCATTAGTCATTTACCCTATTTTAGGCGCGCCAGTGTACATCTCCTTTCCTCATTTCTACAAAGCGGATCCTAATTTACTGAACGCAGTCCACGGATTGAAACCAAACGTAGACATCCACGAAACGTATTTCAAGATCCAACCGGTAAGTGACAGAATTAAAACCTTGTGATTCATTTCTAATATTTCGTCTGATAATTTTCTACAGACTCTTTAGAATAAACACTGCTATTTAACGGAATACGTGAAGTAAATTCTACAGCGAGACTTGTTTGTTTCCCAGAAACTCGGCGTGCCGTTAGAAGGGAAAGTCCGCATACAGCTGAACCTAAAGGTCGAACGGCAGCCGCAAATCGGTGTCGTCTCCAGTTTTCCCGACATAATGTTTCCCATTATGTGGGTAGAGGAAGGCATCGAGGAATTAACGCCGTCCATCCGGAGATGGGTCTACCTGGCAACGACGTTCAGCGACGCCGCTGCACCTTGTACCTCGTACGGAATGATTCTAGTCGGTATAATAATCATAACGGTGGTCCTCGTGAAGGTATACAACAACGCGGTATTTACTCATGAGGCGATCGAGCTAGGCAAGCGTACCATTAGGAGAGGTTCGACGTTGCTGGTCAACGGACAGCACAAGTTGTTAATGTCGCGGGAATCGTACGTTTTGTTGAGTAACGATAACGACGCAAAGACAGATAGGATAGAGATCTAGTTCAGTCTAGTATACATGGTTATTTGTTTTTCTTGGATAGAACCTGAGAAGCGTATAGCGTCTTCAATCGTTTGATACTGTACACCAAAGCCTTTTGTTCTTCCGATTACCTGAAGAGACGACGTCGATGAGATACGTCGACTTCAATAGCACGCATTTCGGCAAACAATTCAACGATCACTTGCTTGTTTTATTATTTTTTGTATCTCTTCCTGTATCTGTGATTTCATCGTTTTTTTTTTTATTTATATCGTCGGTGTACCGCGGTACCGGAAAATGGATCGTGCTTGAATGATTGAGGTAGAAACGGGTAGAGACACGGTCCAAGAACGGAGCACGAGTGCCGCGTTCCGGACGTACGTATTTGTTTAGGTATACGATTCTAGTTGTAAGCGTTGTATATAAATTTATCTTATTGTTAGCTCAATTCATGCGCGATTACAATCTGCTGCCAAGCTGGGTATTCGTGGCTGCACAAATTGTTCGTTGGATGAGTATGTTTATGATCGTGATTTAAAGACAATTTTATACATTGTCTAAATCAACTTTAATTAATTCCGTCCAATTCGTAAAATGCTCGTTGCAAGTCATTTGGATAGATTCCCGGCTTCAGTATAACGCGTTAGATGTTAATTGAGGATAAAAAATCGGTCAGACGTTTAATCGAATTTTAATCAGGATGCGATTTTTGTTTCTCGTCATTGAGGGAATCATGAAACAAGATTAGGATCCGTGGAAATTTGAACGTTGATATTATACAATTGAAATTATGATATTCTAAGTGAAGAATGTAAAATAATATATGTTATGTATCGCAATTTTGTAACTGGTGACTAATAAAATATATTTACTCAAAATCTCGAATGTTAAATGTTGGAGAATATGTGAAAGTGTGAGGAATATAGTTTTATAAAAATCAGGTGCCAGATCAAAATGAAGAGCAGACACTTTATGTAAATGAACTTGTTGTTATCGGTCATATTTGACCTGTTAAGCGAATTTGAGAAACACACGGATTTTTCTTTTTAAATAAAATTTTATTCTCAGCATCGAAGTATTTAACTCATTCGCCTAGACAACTTTCGTTATTTCTTGCAACTTAAAAAGTACGCGTTACAAAAGACATTTGATAAATTTATATAGTACGTTTCTTTTGAATATCATTTTACGGTATGCAGAAGGTTGTAATATTAAATAGTATTTTTAATAAAAGGAAAGAAGAATTAACGCTTTAAAATATGCTTGGCTTGAGCAAAAGTACGTATTCAGACACAGCACTATGTAACAGTATCACATCGTGGATAAAGCCTAGCAGATTCATAACGAAAAATAATATTATATTTACACTGTTGGACGACGATCTCCATTCAGAAAGATTTACTACCATCATATTTTATACTATCAACTATACAATGTAAAAAAAAGAAACGAATTACGATGTTTAAATTACGTGAATGGTCCTACACGAGTACAAGTATAAATAATAATGTAGTTAATATCCTTTCCTAAATTAGAGCATTCTTAAATAGTTCTGGGAACCAGAAAGAATTTATCAAAATTAATCATGAACGAAAAATCATAAATACGACGACCAATTTAAAGAGATACAAATATTGTATTATATTTACGTTATTGAATATCGTGTGAAATTTTCTCTAGCTGCTATATCGTTTTATCGTGGCTTGTAGCGTTTATTATTTACACGCACAGATATGTGGAACACATCCTTAATGCTATATCAAGTTAAGATTAAAGTTGTATTGTTTCTATTAGACACGTTTAGAGCCGTTTCAATGCACAACGATCGTGTACGAATAAAGTACATTATTCTGCTGTTTAATCATTTTTATACACGTTAAAGGCGTTCTATAAATACTTATGAGTACATTACACTATAAATTATAGTTAGTGCAATACACTGTTACTTAGTTTCTTTTTCCTTTTTTTCTTTTTTTTTTTTTTTTAAATAATTATAGACATCTTAGATTCATTTGATTTGAAACATTAAGGTATTCAAGCCGACTTTAGTAATAATTTTTAAATAATATGTTATACCTTTATCTGAGCTAACATCGGAGGTATAGAAGTCAGGGAAGTAGGCTGCCTCAGATTAAGCTTATGCATTTCTTCGTCTGCTTTGTTGTGCTTTAGCTCTTGTTGGGTGTACAAGAATTTGTTCCATTCGTCAATTCTCGGATGCGCCAAGTGCTGTGAATCAGAAGAAACACGGCGATTATACAATAAAGTCGGAATCAATGAAAGATACACTGACGGAAAATTATTATAAAACAAAGGTTACCTCGGCAACATCGTACACCCATATCTTGCCTGTGTCGTCGCCGACGGTCACGTGTAAACCGCTCGGCGTCCAAGACACTCTGTTGAGTGCCGGGTTGCCCTTGATCGTTACACTAGCCATAGGCACTTCTGTGTCCTGATTAAGATTCCATAGATCGAGCCGTCCTGAATCGTCGACGGCAGCGAAGAGAGCCGGATGGGTCGGCGACCACGCGACGTCGTAAATGTAATCGCCGTTGTGCTCGAAAGAGTATAATGGTTTGCTCTCTTTAAGGCTCCACAGCTTGATTGTCCAATCGATGGACGAAGTTAAAAATAGGTGCGAGAAATCTATTCCGCCCTGTACAGCATGCGTGCTAATACCAGTGACCGGGCCTTGATGGCCTTCGTATGTTTCCAGCACTCCGGTCTTCGTACCATGACGACAAGCTGTTGAACGATAAATTAATTTAGATTACAGAAATTGTCTCACGCACGTTTCATCATATTTGTAGTACGCTAAATGTGATATTTACCGGAGTAAACGTTCCCTTCTTCGCTGCCGACGACAAAGTTATTAACGTCCCCGTGAGGGAATGCCAAGCAGGTGGCGGCAATCGGTTTCGACTGTTTAATGTGCAGCTCTAATGTCTCCTGCGGTTGTGACAACATCTCTAAACTCCAGGAGCACAATTTCCCGTCGGTCGATATACTTATCAAATTGTGCGCGTTTTGTGCCCCGACAACGTTTAGACAGTACACAGGATGCTGTGACAAGTTACAATTATTATTCGCACCGTGAATATACGTGAAAGCATAAAAAAATTGTCAAGACTTACTGTGTGCGCGCTTGCTGATAACGGAGTACGCTGGATTGGAGTCCTCTTTTGGATTCGATTGTCCCAGAGCACGATCTGCCCTGAATAAGTACCGCCCAAGATTAAATTCGGATGAAATCTCGCGAACGTGGTCGACATGACCGGAGATTGACAGTGGAAAATGAATTCTGGTGTTGTCTTCTTAAATTTTGTATTCCACACCAAACATACTCCGTCCGGATCATTAGGAGTGTCGTCGTTATTGTTGTACGAGGCTACGAGGAGCTCTGGGAACTGAGGCGACCAGTCCATCGATGTCACGCAACGATTGCGAGACCATCGTTCATCGAAGAACCATCGGTTCACGTATAAACGTTGATGACTCTTCTCATCCCTGCGAAAATCCCATTGGTTGAGTACGACAGAAATAAAACCTCTAAACGATTATCTTCACTCACATTCCGTCCTCGCCGTCCATAGAACCGGTGTAATCGGTATAAATGTTAACGGATTCTCCTAGTGCCCTTTCCAAAATTCTACTGGCACGATCGAGGAATCGTTGGAAGTCCTCGGAAAGTATTATCATTTGTTTCTCTTCTTCGCTGAGTTCTCGTACTAGAAATGAACGTCACATATTACCCCGTGGTCCATTTGAAATCAAACTTGATCTATATATTTTTCCCTCGTTGTTAAAGAAAGAAAACTACCTTCTACAGGTTTTTCTTTTTCCTTTTCCTGTTCGACTTGCGTGACTGCTGGTTGCACTTCCTTGACTTGCGGTAAACCGTGAGGAAGGATTCCGGGTGGAAGCTTGCTTTGGAAACCGTCCATGTGTGGGAGGCTGTTTTCTTCATCTTCGGCTTGGCCATCGTCAAATGTCAAAACTGTGGTGAATAAGCTGGTTCCGCCACAAGTATCCTAATCTCTATATATCTATCTACGTCTGACAAATGTCCTACATCGAGAATTCGAATGCTACGTTTATCCAGAAAGGAAAGTAACTACTACAGTCTCACTGCACTGTGAGATTATTCAGTCGAACTAGATACTCTACGTAAAATAATAATTGAAATAAAATGAGCCTAACGTGAAACAGAAATCGTATAAAAAAAAAATGTATAAACGTAAAAATTGTCTAGTAATTACTTGGACGCATGAAATGGAATAAATGTTAAATAAATAAACTGTGAGAACTTGAACTTGGAGGGATGCAACTCTCTTTCAGAAGCTTTTGCAAAGGCGTATTAAATAAAATGTAAGGGGGGAAAAATAACAATAGCTGACCGAAAGATGAACGATCATATGCAGCAGTGAAAAAAAAAAGGAACGAATTAAATTCACATGCATCGATATTAGTTAACGCATAACGGAAAGGTGGACTGCTTGTTGGTGGATTATGCAAGTTCAGATTTGAACTATCGTCTGAAACATTTTGTGATTGGAAATCATTCGGAACGGTATCTCTCCACCCCTCACTAAATGCAAACGCAAATGAAGTGAAGTAATGTGCCGGAAGAAGCGACGTTTAATGATTTCTCTCAAGTGCGCTTTAATTCAATCAACGAATACAAATCTTTTCTTTCCGTCAAGAATGATCGTGACAACATCAATTATTACGTGGAATTAAGAGATGCAAATAGAAAATATCGAGTGGAGATTAACGCAACTTCCCAAGTCTCATGCAGCAATAAATGTGTAACTTATTATATAAAAGAAACTGTTCAACCTAAGCCTAAGGTACTAAAACGAATACTGCTTAACGGTGAAACGAAACAAAAGTGATGATAGTGATTTATTACATTGTACTCCATTCATGCGTAGTGGAAGATGAACGAATGATTCAATGAGATCTAGTAAATGATAAGACATACGTACTGTGCATGCATAATAGACTAAGCAAAAATTTTTACAGTTACGTAAACTACTAAACAATCTGATAATTTATCAAGCAACTTTAGATCGTAAATCGACAGATTCCCTCCTTTCGGTGCATCGGTAGATGCAAGTAATTTGAATAGAAGAAAAAAAGAACTTAAACGAGCACGTTACTCTCGAATGTAATTTTTGTGAAAATGAATATGTACATTATTGTAATTCATACATGGGTGATACTGTTAGGTAGAGTGAATCGTCTCGAGAGAGGATTACCTACCTGTGAATTCGTCCTCCCATTCTAAACCAGGATTTAGATTGTACTCGTCTTGAAGGAGGGAAAAGAAAATCTCAGTCAATCACGTGTTTCATCATGTTAATTCTGTTTTTGTTTCTAAATTTCACGTCTCTCGTAGAAAATTATTGATGTATGCCAAAACAATTTTTAATCGGTCAAATAAAAATGGCTAATTACTTCTAAAAGTAGCACGCAAACTGTACATATACTACTACTGAATACTATTGAGTCATCTGAAAATGAACAGGACTTTGATCGAAAATGATCGCACTTGTACCTATGGCAATATCTATTCGTGGATCCTTATCCATTTTCATGCAAGATACATCAACAATTAGCTAGAAAGATTGAAATAGTAATATCGAATCGAAAATGGTAATATTAATTATAATAAATACGTCTATAAAACATGCAAACAGAGTATATACCCTATTAACGTTGTTACGTTCGATAACGAGATTTTGTTCTCTAAAGGGATCGGTAAATTTTTCACGAACCATGTAGGTCTACAATTTTATATTAATTTACGTGTAAATATTCTATCGAGCTATGATCCCCTTAGGTTTTTAACTCAATTACAGATATCTTAATAGTTTTTATTCGTCTATCGGTCTGATCACGATTTATCCAAGGGAATAGTAA